GTGATGCACAACTTTGCACGAGAGCGAGTCAACTTGGCGACGGAGAAGATGAAGACCCGCTACGACACAAGAGCTACTGAACATCAAGTTCCACGAAGGAGACAAGGTGTGGTTGTGGAATCCGACTCGACGGAAAGGACTTTGTCCGAAATTACAGTCACCTTGGGATGGCCCATATACAGTCCTAAAAAGGCTGAATGACGTCGTGGTTCGGATTCGTAAGTCTTCGAACTCTAAACCTAAAGTCGTTCATTACGACAGGTTAGCTCATTACTATGGCCATAGTACGTAATGTAAATAATTGTAAATAGTATCAGACCATGGTCCTTTTTGTTTATAAATGTGTATTTGATTTGATTTGTATTTAGTATTTGATTTGCATTTAGTATTTGATTTGTATTTGGTATTTGTTTTGTATTTAGTATTTGATAGCATTTGATTTGTTTAAGTTAGTTATTGTATTTATTGTTTATATTGTTTGATATTGTAATGTAATGTTTATGCCTCAGTTGCATTTATGCCACAGTTGTAAGTTTAGCTTCCTGTCCAGGGATTGTACTGCCCGGGACGTGCAGTCCTTGGGAAGGGGGCAGTGTTACGAATTTGGTATTTAAAAAGCTAATGTTAGTTCAATTATAAATTAAATGATTTTATTTCTCGCGCAGTGCAGCGCGTGACGAATATTAAAAGAAAGCTAAGCCGGAAAAATTAAAAATACAAGAGCGCGTGCGTTAAATAAATAAATATCTCTTTTTGATTTCGAGAAAGTGCTGGAAAATTCTAGCGCGTGATTTTAAAATCTTATAAAAGGAAGAAAACATCTCAGTTTGTAGTAGTTGCTTAGTTTGTTGTTGTTTAGAAAACTGAAAACTGCCGTTGTTGATTGTAGCGAATTCGCGGATTAGCGTTCTTTAGCTGTTTTGAATTACGTTCTGTTGTACATTTGAGTAGTTAAAAGATAACTACTGTGAGATATTGTGATACTGCATGATAATTTGAGAAAATTTAAGCATTTCTGTTGTGATAATAATAAATTTTTGTTCATTTTTCATCGGACTTGTGCATTCATTTCATAACGAACTCGTACGCACGCAACAATATGTTTAATAAATACGTAATTAAATCTTTATATAGCTCGATAATTACTTAATTAATCTTAATAATTACGTAATTTATCTTAATAATTCCGTAATTAAATCTTTATAGTCCTCCTGTATCTGAACATATATTTAATAAATAAATAAATACATTCTTTGTGAGAAGAATTCCAGGAAAGATTTCGTAAAAGATAGAAAATTGCATTTACCAAGTAATGATCCTACCTGCTATCTAAGTAGTCCCCTTGGGCCCTATACACAACTGCCATCGTTTCTGGAGGTCTTGGAAGCAAAAAGGGAAATCTTCAACTGCGATGCTTTGAAGCACATTTGTCACAACCCGTTTGGATGTCTGCAATAATCTTGATGATGCTTTCCTTTCAGTCACTTTTTCACTCACGGAAACCAGAAAAAATCACAATAATCTTTGACGCAAATGAGGAATCACGTTCAATAGTTCAGCGGAAATTTTTCGTTATTTCTCTTCCCGTTTACCTGTTAGTGAGTGACGGGCGATTCTTGCATTAAGGTTCCGTTTCCCTAAATCTTCGCATAAAACCTTGTAGGGTTTATATTTATTTTAACTAACATTTATTGTAAGTTTAAACTATCTTTCCTGTCAAGCCTTACTTTCCCCTGGATCTGCCAATGCCAGAGTATGTAAATTTTAGTAGAACGCGCAAGGATTCAAATTATCAGCGGAAGTATTCTGAGTTAAATAGAAAGGAAACGAGTTCGAGGTGTGCTGTTCGTACTTCACGAGCGCGGAGGTAGTTAGCCAGAAATTGAAGAACCCCGCGTTTCGGCCTGTGTGCTTGCCTTGCAGAATTGTTAATCGTTCAAAGTGATATTCAAAGTTTGCTGAATTAGCAGCGGTATTGTAAAACGCGGTGAGGTTAGTTACTTTTAGAGAGCCTCGTAGTTAGAGTCTTGTTATTATTTCTTTTCAGGTTCTTATTTTTATTTTACCGCCGGGTCGGCGTAGTTTGTGAGCGTCAAGAGCACGCTATTGTAATTTCTTAAGTTGAATAAAAAGGGACTTAAACCCTTAGCAAGACTCTGTCTATTTTCCAGTTTCAACAGTCACCTCTTGGTTGCGTGCAGGTTGGAGGCGCGCAACTCTACAACCTTATATAACACACATGACGATATAATTCAGTTTTTCTGATATCATATGCAGAGTTACACGACAGGTTTCTTGCATTAACTGCCTTACACGCTCCACGCATAGGTATCAGCTCTGGAACCTTCTTACACTGAATATCTGCCTTCTTACACTGAATACCTTCTGTGCCACTCAAAAACATGATTTCTTGAACTTGCCTCGCCTGCATATGCCTGCTTAATCATGTTTCACTAAAGGTGTATTATGACCCTATAATTCTAAACTAATGAATGGACTGTATAGCAAAGAGTTAACTAATTCATTTACAGTAATTATCTACATTCAGTTGTAATACATGCTTTGGCATGTTGCTTAGCCGACTCCAGATGGCCAAGGGAGAGTTTCTCTCCATATGCAATAGGTGGCGCTGTATTCTAAATTATCAAAAGGTTTTCCCAAGCTCCACGCAGAACTTAATGTTCACTCTTTGCTTACAATAAGCATCCATTGTACAGTCACGTGCAAAAGTTCAAAACCAGTAGCCGTTTTCCTGTATTTTAACAGATTGCACTATTTTCGCTCGTGATTGCGTTATATCATGAGTTGATTACATCAAATGCTTTTCTACTGCAATGATCAGCAGTTTGTTATTGGATTTTGCGTAGACAGTGCTGTTGCATAATTCTTATAAAGGGTAAAATCCTTCACTTACTCTTGCAAAACGGGCAAAAATAGTATCCTTGCATGAAATTGGCTTTTCTGAACGTGAAATCAGTTTGAAGGTAAATGTCAGCAAGAGAGACATGCATCATCAATCTATCAGTAAGTTCAAAATTTCGGGAAAGTATACGGATCTTAAGAGAAGCAGTCGCCCAAGAAAAACTTGTGCACGTGATGATCGTGTGATAAGAAGGATAACCACTCGATGTCCAACAACCTCCTGCAATAAAATTAGAGCTGCTTTGGCTACAAAGGGGACCAACGTCAGTTCGAGTACTATTTCAAGACTTTTGACTGAAGATTATAGTTTATTTTCCTATAAAAGTGCAAGAAAGCCTCGACTTACTCAAAGTATGCAAAAGGAACGACTGAATTTTGCCAGACAATACCAGAATTGGACAGAACAACAGTGGAGTAGAGTGTTATTTTCTGACGAATCAAGTGTGCAGTAATTTTCTGCCCGTGCCAAATGTATTCGCCGCCCCTTTGGAAAAAGATATGTTGACAGATATACGATTCTAACAGTGAAACACCCTCCAAGACAGATGATATGGGGTGCAATGTCTGCGCTTGGTACTGCTGCTGTATATTTCCTGCCACCTAAAAACACGATAAACGGCAGTCGGTGCCTTAATTTGTTATGTGACAAGTTGGAAGTTTTACTTGGATGTTCACAGATGTTCAATTGCCATGCATGATGGGACTCCGTGTCACAGGGCAAGGAATGTTAAGTTATCTGAGGGCTACTCAAATCTAAGCTTTTGATTGGCCAAGTAACAGCCCAGATTTGAATCCCATAGAGAATCTGTGGTGTATTGTGACAAATAAAGTCGCGAAGAAGCTACCATCCGGTGCTACAGAACTTATTAAAGCAATAAGGCATGTGTGGTGTACAAAGATTTCTCAAGCTTACTACCAGTCTCGTGTTCATAGCATGCCTAAAAGGATTGCAGCAGTGATAAAAAATAAAGGAAGTCCGACAAAATACTGACTATATATCAATAACCTTGCGCAGACACATGACTTAGGTCGTGTGAAGTAAGAATAGATATCAGGTAACATGAAAACAACTTTTATTCCTCTTTAGTGCTGCAAGCTCAGAAATAAAAAATTGTCCTTAAACTTTTCTGACAAAGGATGTATTTACATTTATTTTGAAAAAATAAAGCTCTGGGTTAACATAAATTAGGCAAATTTGTGCTATTCAGTAGCATTCCTTTGTGATTTATGAAAATCCAAAATTCTTCGATTTTTAATTTTCTTACATTTCGTATGCCAAAAGCATTTACGTGGAAGAACTTTACTGTTTTTAAATCATGAAACTACGTTAATGATAGGCGCACACAGTTTTTCTATTTTAGGGTTATAATTTTATTGTCATACAACAAAGCGTGTTTGGACTATACATGTCTTCACTTTAAATTTATACAAATAATGTTACGAATTATCTTTGTATTAACTTTGAAGTCTATAACTCCTTTCTAGAATACGATATTCTGTATGAAATCCTCTGAATGAAAACTTTCTTTTGAAAATATTTTTATTTATGAAAATTATAAACTGTTTCATGACAGTATGTATAGCACTGCTCACTACTAAAACTATTAACACCAGGAACCCGAATAGTGCGTATATATTCCTAAATAGACAATTTTCTTCATGAATTGCTTACCTATTCAAATATTTCTCTTTTCAGTTGGTGTAGGAACTATTGAACATGTTATCAAACTTCAAAATAAAGTAACTTAGCCAATTTGCATCATATGTGGTAATAAAACATCTGGGGTTTTTATTTTTAAGAATAAATATAAATATTTACTAAAATAGTTATACAAATCGGAATGACCATATAAAAAGTACGATTTTGTAATTTTCACAATATTGATTTTTTTAATTTAAAAATACTATAACATGACTATCTCCTTTATTAGCTATGTAAGATTAAATAATTTAAAATATTAATATTTGACACGAAACAGATCACAAAACATGCTTACGAAATATAAACCTTAATACAGTTGGGGTAGAATGGTCTTGAATCCCGCATTAAAGTCATTAAACGGTAATTTTATACATACGAACAAGACCTCCTTAATGCGTCTTCACTTGGGAAATATGGTAATACAATGTTTTCTTCCACGTCCTCAAAACATTCCTGTAAGTAATGCATTGCACTAATTTCGTGAATTCCTGAAAGCGGAATAAAATTCAATGTTAAGGGCAAATTATTTGAATGAAACTTCATAGATTATTAAAATTATTTCTAACAAATAAAGGACCTAAGGATTCAATAAACTCTACCACAGAAATTTTCTCATGGTAGCGTAATTAGTTCTTTCTGCGATATACATCCAGAAATGACACAAGGGGCAACGCGATAACAAAATTAGTTCCACACATGAGAAGATCAAACGTACTTTGGGGCATTATGTTCGAGTTTCTCTAACTAAGGTCAAATAATTGACATCTTTCCCATTGTATCATTTCGTGCAAATATTGGTACATTAAGCCATTAACTCTGGTATAAATTCAGTGGAATGTAAATTCCTCCTGGAAATTTTGTTAAAGTTGTCCTTCCTTTGGATAACTGATTTTTTTTATGTGCAATAAGGGTGTAAATTCAATTGTTATACTAGAATTTAGCAAATATTCTACTGAAAACCATTATGAGATTGGCTAGTGGAAAAAAACCAGAGTCCAAGAAATATGTTAAGCTTAATAGAATTAAATTTTTATGTGCAATATGGAAAAATAAGTCTGTAGTAAAATGTTAAACCTATTTGTATTAAAGGTGAAATTTGCAAATTTTAGATATGATCCTATGTTGAATTCCTTTTTTTTTTATTTTTCCCGGGAAAATAATTTTTTCTATTTGATTTTATCACTTGATTATTTGAATTAATAGATGTTTTGTTTCTAAATAAACCGGCATATTTCACTGAAATATTTAAGTGTATGTTTTATTTGATTTGTTCATTCACTCACTAGTACACCTTTAAGTTTGAATTAGTTGTTGTTCCGTCAAAAGTTAACACAACGCAATGACTATTTTAAATGTGAGTTATATTTAGGTTAAGAAAATTTAATTTTGTGTTTCTGTGTCTTTCCTAAAAAGGCACGAATCAAAAACGCTTATGACAACGTGTCGATCGCGATGCATTTTATAGAACAAAGTAGATCTTTTCTGCACAAAAATTGGCCACCTCCTGCTCTACTCTTTGGTTAAAATGAAACATCACATTTCAATGTCTTATACACTGGAGGGATAAATTTAAAATAAAACAGTTAGAAAACTTATTAACCTGAAATTATGTTTCCGCTATAAATGTAGAACTTGCACAAGATATTTGTTTTATTGTGCCTAACGTATCTTTAAAATGCAGAATTGCCTATTACTGGAAAAAATTGAACAAGGAAATAAGAAATGTAATTTAAAGGTAGGATAAAGAAAAGTTAATATTAAAACTTTTCAGAGATGCATGGAAAATATTAATACGGTGTCATTCCTGATCAAAATGTTAATTTTGCAGCGATTTGTCTTGTTTTGTATTAGAACCTCTATAGTTCTTGCTGTAACAAGTAGTATTCACGATGAAGAACGTCTAGAAGCTTATGCAGAGCGATAAGGGGAGGATGCAGTAATGCAAATTGACAAGTTGTGTTTGAATGGTTATTTTAAAAGTTTTTTACCCACCAGATTTTTCTAACCTGCTTTATCTCCCATTTTTTACTCAATGTCCTTTAGTTATCTTCAGACCAGTAACGTCCTACGTACATGTAATCAACGCTCGTCTACCGGTGAGATATAGCGTCAACGTAAGGAAACCATAGTCTGTTTTTTACATCATTCTCACTGTTGATGAATCATTGATTCTTGCTCAGTAAATAACGATATTCGTTATGGTTTTGTTAATATTATTTAAATATTAGTACTTTATTCTTCTCCATTGTTATATTCTTGAAATGTAATTTTTTTTTCTAATTTTAAAGTTTAGAAACTAAAAACTACATAAAAGAATTTGCAGCAAGATAAATATTTAAAGAAGCATTACTCTTATTTTACACTGTATAGATTTAATATACTAAAAATTAATAATATATCTGAAAAGAGGTTATATTTTGTATCATATAAATCATTAATTTCTTCATGCGGCTAATCAGTGAATGCTTTAATTTTATATTAGGTACTGGTTTAATATCAGTTCAAACAAGCTTTAAAATTCTGTGATAATTCAAACGTGTGCGAATATCTGTTGGCTAGGGTTGGATACATCTTTGAGACACTTTCCCTCTGCTTTAAAATTTCTGAAATAAACATTAAAATGAATTAACAAGAAAGAAGAAATGTTTAAGATAAATATTGAATTTAAATAAGGGAAGGCTCAAACGCTTAATCATAGGAAGGTGAGTTTGAAAAATTAAATTGTTCAGGTAATCGCCTAAATGAAAAATGAGCAAAATAAAATTAAAAAGCTTGTAATCCGTAGACATCAATGAACATGTACATATGTGAAATAAAAATATAAAACAAATTTTAACCACACAGAATGAAATTTCATTGAATTCATTTTCTTATATGAATCATATTCTCCAATACGATAAGTTGTAGAGACATTAGGAATTTTTTGGAAGCAAGAGGGATTGAAAAATTAGCAATCGCCTTCGCCGGGAATCGAACCGTGGACCTCCGAAATACCGGATCAGTACGATGACCACTACACCACGAAGGCAAGCTAGGAAGGCGGAAGAAACACCTTATATAGTTCCCCTTTTAAAAGTGGTACTCCCCCTTTTAAAGTGCGACTGGGGTTTTTAGGGGATCCAATCGCCAAATCTTGGGTGAGGAGAATCATCGTCCAACACCCTTTTTAGTTCGGGCGCCACTGTAGCGACATGCGATAGAGAACGTCGACACCACTCCTCTACCAATACGGTTTATCGGTATAGCGCCACGTCCACCTTTATCTATTGCCTAGATACATGATACATAAGAACATACGATGGCTACAGATAGACTGTGCAGAAGATACATATATATTCAGATGCCTAAATACATCTTACATAGGAACATGGGGTGCATGAGATGTATAATGGGACATTCATAAGAACATATATAAGGTGACACATATTGGGTGATGTACACATACTTATGAATATAAGATATATAGGTGCAGAATAAGTTACATGTTACAGAATGTTGTGAGATATATAATGCAAGATCCTGTGGATACAGATATATGCAGATGCCAAGATAGATGATACGAGGTGCAGAGTGATATAAGTGACAGAATACGGGGTAGAAGGTGCGAAATAAGATGCATGATACAGTATCATGCGGGATATATGTTACAATAAGCAAAAGATACAAACATTGGCAGATGCCAGGATGCATGATACGTAGAACACAAGGTGCAGTAGATACGTAAGGTGACAAATACAAAGGGCATGCATAAGGTGACATACACATACAGAAGTAAAGAAGGTTCAAAATAGGTTACATATTAAAAGATGATACGAGATATATGATACATATTACGGGATGATACGAGAAATATGTCATATATTACAGAATAATACGAGATATTTGTTAAAACACACAGGGTTACATTTTACAACATAGGTTACGTATTGCAGGATGTTGCAAGATATAAGATGCAAGGTGCAGAAGATACTATAGGATTTTTTGGAAGCAAGAGAGATTGAAAAATTAGCAATCGCCTTCGCCGAGAATGAAACCGCGGACCTCTGAAATACCGGCTCAGTGTGCTGACCACTACACTACGAAGGCACTCTAGGGAGGCAGGAGAAATACCGTATAAAGTTATCAATTTGTATGTATAAAAATGCAATAATTTTTAGATTACTCACGAACCTTATATAATATACTGAAATAATTAATATGAGAACTAAAACAGTAATGCTCTCAATGTCGTCTCTCCCAATGTCTTAGGCAGAGAATGTTCTTCCCTCGAATGTTTTGCCGTAATAAAATAAAATAAACCAAAATCGTTACAATCGTGTCATAAAATGTTCTCACACAGCTTTTAATCATCTAATAAAATAATAAGAGTAGGTAATATTGATTTCTCAAAGTATACCGTTCAATTTAAAATATCTAGAATCATCTAGATATTTAAAATTAAACATTCTATTTTAAATATGTACACCTACAGCTAGATTTTTAATAATTTGTTGCTAAATTTTTATCATCATTTAGATTAAAAATCATTGCTTTCTTCTCATTTATTCATTCAGGAGCAATGTGACATAATTAAGCTCTGATAGATCTACTTTAAGGCATTCCACGCAATTAGTTGATGAAATTTCTTGTGTCCCTTAACGTTTATTCTATTTTAAATTTATCTTCGAATTTAGAATTTTAATTTTCAGAACAATCAAACAGTATAAGGCATGAAACATTTCGCTTTAAAGCACATACATAGAACTAACTCTATTTTATCAAAAACGTTAAACGTTATTTAGCATAACTGTTTGAAAACCATACCTGAAATCATAAGAAATGCCAAGATTAATTTCAACATCCTGATTTATAATGTGAAATTTCGATGCCAGAAAGAATAAATTTCTACTGAACCGTTTTTGACGAAATTCTCTTCACAAGTGGGGCAACGCATTTTGGTAAAAGAATTATATGTATATCTCAAAAAGAAAATTTGTTTCTTAAGATTGCAGCGTACTAATTATTTTAACGGAAATTCCATGTCCGTACAGATAAACAAACTTAGTTTGTAATTTCTTCCGGATAGAACAAGAAAACGCCGCCAGAATTGCTAGTTGAAGTTTTATTCATTATAGGAGGATAATTACCAGTCCTCGCATGGAATCTGTATCCTGTTCCGGTGATTAAATTCGAAAGTTTTGTGTCGCGACTGTTCAGACAGAACTCGTGAAACTCAAGAGTTAACGTTTCAAGGCTACACGATATTAAAACAGTAAATAGTTTAGAAATGTAGCAAAAAATAGTTAACGTATTGTACGTACAAACATATTTAGGGCATAAATAAGAAAGCATAAAAGTAACAAATACTTGCAATAATAATCATAATAAACAATTAATGCACTATCACTAGAAGATTAAACATTAAAATATACATTAAAGAAAATAATTGTACAATATTAATTAATTAGCAAGTAAAATGAAAGATGATAAGTGTCCTGAAACTAATTATAATTTATGCTAAGCAGCGATAATAAGGAATATATAATGATTATGATATAAAAGCTGGGGCACACATGGAATAACACAAATGATTGGGATATGCATACAAAATTTACAAACATCTAGTACAGTGAAACGTCGGTTTACAAGCTTCCCTTTGCGGTAGAGTGTGTCTGGTCCTTCTGTACGCACAGAAAATTTTAATGAAAAGGATCTGTGCTATAGGTTACTCTGAAACTTCTTTATTTATAGTAGATGGCAGCTCAACACAAACCAGTTCATATATTTTAGCCATGTTTAGTTTTTTAAGACCCTTATTTTTCAAAGAAATCTTCCAGAATATTTTAGGGTGTAAAAGGAATTTTTTGAAAAGAAATTTCTGTGTTATTTTTTGGCTGTATGCTAATCTCCTTATTCTATATTAGTTTTAAATTCTTATCTTGAAATCTTGCCTAAAATCAAACAGCAAACCCTAGGTGTGCCCAGACCGGGCTCACCGATAATCTAGGACAATTGAGAGTCTGTATTCTTTGTTTCTCCGCATCTCATCCGTCAATGCATTGACAAAAATGCTCGTTTCAGAACTCCTTTCGAAGCTCTATTCAATCAGTGTGCCAATTTTGCCACACCCCCAGAATTAAACACAGATAAGTGCTATCTTCATAAAATCTTGCTTGTGTACTCCTCTAGGCCTAATTAGACTGCCTACCTTTTTTTCTTTTTTTTTATCAAAACTCCTTTAAAAAGTAGCGTGCCGGAAAGGGTTAATTCGCTCCTGAATGCAGTTCATCAAACGAAATATTCGTAAGCCGAAACGTTTTTTCCTTGAGGAATTAATCTTCAATGGATTAGTTCATTCTTGGACCCCATGTGAGTGCTTAGTTAAACTATACAACAGTGCTTTGTACACAAATTCATAATTAAAAATCGATCGAGGTCATTTAAAAAAATATATAAATACAATATTAAGCAAATAAAATAGATACGAAATTAAATTTTCTTGTATTTGCACAAAAAACAGTGTACGAAGAAGATGGTATAGTTAAAGAGGGGGATGTAAGTGTTTGCATGCGAAACTTTCTTCCATAAAATCGTCACATAACTTTTTTTAGGTGATCTTCTTTCACATTTTCATTGTCTCTAAGACCCACTCTGCTTGAGAATCACTAAACTTCCGTTTCACTCAAATTTGTCGAATATGATATGTTGTTGTCTACGTTTCAAAATATTTCTGAAATGAGACAAGTCTTTATAACAGCAAATGTTTATGCTGTAATTCACTAGATCTCTCTCAGAGTGGTATTATTGCCTGAAAACTTCGCATCTTGCCCTATTGATTACAAAGTTCTCTAATAAAAGGAATAGGTGTCTTATGATTTTTTCTTCTGAAGACATTTATTCTATATACATCTATTGTTGCTGTTTCTGGTGTTATAATTCTTTTTTGGTGAGATCATTTTTATGATGCTTTAGTAACTTTTCCACACACTGATTGTTTACTTTTTAGTCCATGGTTTTGTTTAAAAACATTAGCATTATACATATCAGAGTGTTCAAAGTGTCTCTCTGCAACCTAGTCTTGTCATACTTTCTTCCAGGCCAGAGTCATAGTTTTTGTAATTTCTGCCAGGCTTTGTAAACGAGAGTTAAGCAATTGAAAATATTAAAATTATTTTTCGAGGAAGCTATGCCAGAGTTTATTTCCAAACGTCGCATTTGAAAATCGTATATTGCCGACCTTATGTGCTCCTAACTTACGACACCAATGGACATCCGAGACATTTCTTGTTAAAATTATTTGTTCTTGAGCCGACTTTTTTGTGAACTGAGGCGTTCATAATCCAAAGTTCCACTGTACATGGGCTCTAGTTGCGCAGATACACCGTTCATAAAGGTTTTAATGTTGCTTTTATTTTCTCATTTGTATACATTTCACATACATTTCCAGTTACAAGAATATTCCAAAAAACACAAATGTCAAAGTAAAAAAAATGTGCTTTGTAAATATATTGTAAAACAATCATTATATTGCCGAATACATTTTAAAATGTAGGGAAGCTCGTTCTCTGAACACAATAAAGAAGAGAAAAATTACGCGAAAATTCTTAAAATTTGCAGACACTGCGCTAAACCGCTAAGGTCAAAGTATATAAAAAAATATAAATCCGAATATACATTTCTTAACTAAAACAGGAAAATAATGTTCATGCCAAGTTATGCGCTTTAAACTGCAATAATTCAGTAGTAATTAAAATCAAACCAAATCAAATAAATTCAAATATCCCATTCATTTTGACAAAATAGAAAACAATGATTTGTGTAAAAATTGCAATAAAGACATACAATAATTGTACGAATTGAAATAAGTAAAAAAAATTTAATAATTCCAAAATTTTCAGTTAAACCAAAGCTGTAGAAAATGAAACTCGAATAAAAAGTTATTCTGTAAATATGAGAAATGCGAAAAAATCAAAATTTTATTTTATTTTAATATAAATTAAAAGGGAGAAATGGATTTTCGTTTGGTAAAGAAGTAAAAATGAATGACTAAGAAGAATTGCAAAACTGAAAACTTTTGCTATATTTCTCTCTCTGATTTTTCCTGACTACAGAGACTTACATTCTTTAAGAATAATTTAAAGCAGGGATTCTCAACTAGTGGTTTTTCTCAAAAGAAAAATAGGTGGTACGTAAAGAATCAAAGTATTTTTCACTAACAAATTCAAAAATTAAAATCCAACATCCTGACTTAGTTTTTTTCTCTAACACTCGTAAATTTATGCGAACTGAGCTTTGTTCTACGTCAATAGCCGCTTATAGACTTTAGGAAATGGCGAACGATCTGGTCGCTTGGCAGTTTTCGGGGTTCTTTCATGATGTACGCTTCACACGTATTCTTTTAGCCGTAGGCATAACAAAATTGACCATAAATGATGTTTGAAAAAGGAGTGATAGAAATGGATGCTATATTTAATAGGCAATAAAACTAAGTTCCTATCAAAAAAGATAGGAGTATCTCATTAATTCTCTTAGAGGTTTTCGATTTATTAGCATGCCAGAACTTTATGCTGCCATTTGCGGGCTCATATTGCTCCATTTTCAAAGAGAATTATTTTTTTTTTACGTCGGTTTGTTATCTCTAACAGTAGATATTTTGTCTTCTATTTGCTTTGTATTCCTTACCTTTCTACGCGATACGAGAATATCGTCGCCTGTTTTTGAAGAAATCGTAAATTTAAGTCGCATTTAAATATTTGTTAAAAAAAAATAGTAAAGCAAACCTAGATTTTCAAAATGGAAAAATGCTTAGGATTGCCTAAGCAAAAAAGTAACAATTCACAGGTGATGGATCCAGGACAATCTACTAACACTAAGACTACTGAAAAGATAAAAAAATTATTTCTAAAAAATATAATGAAAATTATTTATCATTTAGATTTACTTGCAATGGAGATGAAAGGAACACTCAACCTCAGTGTGTTGTTTGCAATGAACTGTTATCCAATCAAAGCATGAAATCATCGTTTCTCAAAAGACATCTTGAATCTAAGCATGCCAATTTAAAGAATAAATCTGAAAAATATTTTAAGAGGGAATTATCGGAGTTCGAAAATGGTAGAAAACTAATGAAAGGTTTTGTTACTTCAAGTGAAAAAGCTGTGGAAGCCTAAGAATTGCTGACACTGGGCAGGCTCAAACTATTGGAGAAACCCTTGTAGAGATATTAGGTTATTTCGAAGCTGGAGAGATGAAAAATGAGTAATGCCCTCCCCGGGACTCGACCACGGACCTGTTGAATCGAGAAGATCCATTCATCGCCTTTTCTTCAGATAATTGTATTAATTCCGCTTAGAACTCTGTTTCTTGAATATATTTTACCCAGAACCTTTCAGCCTCAGCTAATTCCTGTTCTGTCATGAATCCTTTTATCTTCTCGAATTTCTGTTTGATATTATGAACAAACCTCTTTGTCTATGCTGTCATTCGGACAACCCTATGTAGGCTGCTATAATTATTTAAATTCAATAGCGGTTCGAGTTCGGTTTTAACTTCACATGACATCTGTGTACTATTTAACCGCCTTTCATCTTCAAAGTCTGCATAGTACGGAAGTTTAATGTTTGTTTGGAACTTTGGATTTTGACACTCCTGAAGCCAACTGGTCCATTCCAACAAAGTTTATCCGACACAAGAGAATATACTCTACCCCCGCGCGTAATTTTATCAGCTGGATTTTCTTTTCCCTGGACAAAAATTCCAATTTTGAGGTTACGACTTCTGTTGGATTTCTACTATGCGATCGAAGACGAATTATTTCCTGTCTCAAGCACATAGCTCTTGATCCAACACAAACACATTTGCTAATCAGGCCAAAGAAATACGTCACGAGGTTTAAGAAATGTAAATACAGACAATATACATATCTGCCTAATCTCGCTGCTATTAGAGCTCTCAGAAAGTAGAGTCTTGGAAGGGTAATTTGCTTATTCCGCGCTAGTCGGTATTTAGCTAGCAGGAATTTTGTATTCCAGCCTGCTCTGGATCGCTTTTTTAAATGCTCTACTGCTCAATATGCTTTTAAACTAGCAGTGGAAAATATGTTCACTTGCACTACTGTAGAGAGAAAACCTTTGCAGTAGGTTTTCTTAATAGCCAAATTTTACAAGTAGTTGATTTCCATACACCATTTCCTTCCACTGTGACTGCAGATCATTATATAGTTCATCGCAACGAATTTCCCTCACCTATACTGACTGTAATAAAAGTTTCAATCTGATAATATAGTCACTCCAAGAGGGTCGTAAGATCTTTCCATATGTACTTAACACGGTGCGTTTTGTAGCTTGCTTTTCGCCAAAGCGTTCGATCGCTTTTAAAACATTGGAAAAATCAATCTTCAGGATATCGTCTGTGTTATTCTATACCAGTCCCAAAATCTTCAGTGGTATATCATTGAGATTAAAGGTCGGCTGACAGTCGATATTTTTCTCTCCATATGCCCTTCAATTTTTCAGAATCCGTGGCAAATTTTCGTAACTGCATGCTAGCTTCCGCCATTATTTTTTGCAAGACAAGAACGAAGCCTTCTCCACCGTGTCTTCTCCATAACTTAAGTCATCAGCAGAAAGATTATATAGCAGTTGGCAAGCTTCAATTTTACTTTCTGTATGTTTCTTTAAATTCAATCTAATCCTCGCGGAGAGGAGAAATGGACTACATAAGACCCCAGACTGAACTCTTGCAAATATAAATAATTTTAAGTTATTTTCTTGGTTCTAAGCAGTCATTAAGGCATACGTCGCTTTTACCCTTAGAAGATTCATCATATACAATATGTAAACTGTGGTGGAATTTTATTCTCTTACAACTGCATGATGAGGAAGGTAGTAACTCGAATTTCCGGAACATGGAAATCGCATTCTTCAATAATCCCTTCGCTTAACACTGTTGCCGTAACACTGCGTCATAGTGTTGGAACAATTCTCAATTGTTTCTTAATTTATTTCCTCGCTTAATAAGATTTAAGTTAGCTACATCATAATTCTTACTTAAACTCTGATGATCTTTTTTCGACAAAACTTAGTTTCATGTCTTTATACACCGTGTTATCTTCAAACAAATGGATGATATCCTCGCTGCATTGTTTGCTTTCCACCTCAAATTTGATTCCTATCGTGTTCAACTCAAATAAGGTTTTTAATTGCTCAGAAATTTTGTTCAATTGTCGTATTACTTACACATGCAGCTTAAGAGCTAGGTTCATAAAAAGTTCTTCCTTGAATTACAAATCCGAAAATGCTATTAGTAGCAATTAATCTTCTGCTTAATCTTACTGATTTGTTATATTAAATCTTGCACAAATAATCAGCTCCCGTCAAAACGTCAGCATCTGTATAACGCCGGATTAATTGTATTGTGCAGATTCAAACAAACTACGTCATAAACCGACGAAGATGAACTTTCGCTCCCAAATCTGTATATATTAATACATTCCTTCCTAACTACTTCTAGCGCTAAAATATTAGCAAGTTCCTTTTTAACCAAGCGACTCTGAGATCCAAAATCGTACAGAATTTTTACTAACTCCTATTTTTCGCCTGCATTTAAAATAGCACTACCAGTTTGTACTAGAATGTCTGCTTTTCGGGAATTAGAAACTGATGTATTCTCAGATTCAGATGTCGTTTCGCTTTTAATAACTTGCTCAACGTAAATTAAATAATTATATGGCTTGTTGCATATATTACACGTGTCTTTTCGCCAACATTGTATTGCGATATGCCTGCGTTTTAGGCAACGGAAGCATAATCCTTGCAATTCTGCCTCTCGCTTCCTATCCCGAACGGCCAATGGCCAATTTTCTGCCTCATATCTGCAAAAAATACAGCCTTCTTGCAGTGAATTCGTCAAAGCAGATGCACTTCCCATATTACCTTTTAGAAGAGCAATCTTGTTCGAAGGTTTTCTCCCGATCTCGTTATTAACATTTCTATAGTTAGAATGAATTAACAAGCCAGATGCTTCTCTCTATTCCATTTCCTTTCTTAAAAGCCCTAAAAGTTTATTTATGTTAAACTCTCAAGTTGGTTTGTGTCTTCTGTTGCCTTCAGTGTTCATATCTTCCGTCAATTTTTATAAAATCAAAGGACATAATATATTTGCGTACGCACCAGCGGTGACGTTAAGAGTTAAGCTTCTTAATTGTATTTAGCACTTGTCGTGCAACTTTCTTAATGCTTTTACATTAATGGAACTTCTTACTGGATCGATAGCTAACGTCTTATTTATATGAGAACTTATGATAAGGTCCGTTCAACTAAAACGCCTTTTAAGCAATGCTGTGGTAGCAGTCGTAGTTCTCACTACTAGAAGAAAATCCTGAAACCACAGTAAGAGCCTTTCCTCCCAAATACGATTTTAAATAGTTAAATTTTTCGACCTTTGTCAATGTTTCATTATTACGTATTGCTATTTCAAAACTATTCCAAAATTCTAACCAATTACTGTGGTCCCCATAAAATTTGGATATTTCTAACTCAGTCAATTTCACCGTACTTCTATCAAATCTTTTCAGAAGTTACATTCTGTAAAGTACATATTAACACTCCGATCACTACCCGAATACAATTTTATACTTCCATCTATTCTCCCTAGCAATTTGGCGATTTCTTCTTGATAATATTTACTTCGTATAACTTCCTGTTCTAATTCACTTAAATCCATATGACTGTCAATTTCACTGTCTAAAACTTTTAATTAATTAACATTTTCGTTTAGCTCGTACAATTTTTAAGATACTACCTCATAATTTTTCACTACTTTTAGATCACACAATTTTTCAACCTTTGCACTTCTAGTAAGTGTATCTTTTAACGGCTCATTTAAATTAATTTCTATTTTTGAAATTAACTTAATTGTGAACTGTCTAACAAATTTCCGTTTTGCCCTTTCCATAGCAAAATTTTTTCATTCGATTCTATCGTTTTGTTTCAGCAATTTAACAGTCTAAGGAAGCAACTTTCAAATTTCTAAGCAAGTAGCTTTCAAAAATATTCTTTAAATTACATCTAACTTGAATACAATGCCTTACTACTTGTAAAGAAGTTAAAGACTTAGCTGCTAACGCACTTTTCAGCTTTTATTGCTTCGTAGAGTCCCACGTCGATCATTATGTCCGGGTACCCAATCTTTAGTGAAAATTACCTGTTTTTCTGACTCCAAATGACGACATTTGGGTGAGCGATTAAATCATTCTTTTATTCAGAATGAGCAGCTCGCCCTATACAGAACCATCGCGCACTTGGCGATGGAAAATAAATGCAACGGGATGAAACCGTAATTACTTGGACATTATGGAGAATCCTCCGCAGAAGCAAACAACAGAAGCAGTACTTGGTACAAAATCATGGTCCGTTTTAAATTCCGTTTGATACGCGCTGTGCCAAGATAGCATTGTGTTAGTATAATTTCCGCGACTTCTGTAAAGGCATCAGCGCTTGTCAGAAACGGTGACGACTGACTGATATATTGCGGTTTTGAAACAATTTGTCAGAACTCAACAAGCGCTCGATGATCAACCAGACCAGGCCTGGTTCATGCAAGAGGATGTTCGTCCCCACCGTACTGGACGAATACTTAGATGATAGAATTATTGCATTGAACTGTTTGACAGTTAAGGGAAAAGGAATTAACTGGCCTTAGTCACCTGATCTCACCCCCAGTAACTACTGTCTGTGAGACACACTGAAGGATATTGTTTACCGTAACAATCCTTTAACACGTGATGACTTGGAAGAGGCTATTTAAGAAGTGCTGTTTAAGCGAAATTTTCGGTAGGCAGTTTTAGAGCGTGTTATGTCTGCTTCAAGGCCACGTTGTTACATACTATAAATTTGTTTGTGTAGCATTGATTGCTTCTAGCCATTAAGCTTGTTTCCGCTGGCTTGTACGAATCACAGCCTTCCTGCGCGTTTGAATTATCCTGTGAGCCGTCAGGCTGGTTTAATTGCCTTTTATTTGAAGTTCAGCATTACTCATTTAAGTTAAGCCACAAGTGTTTGCTTATGTAAGCTCAAGTGGGTCCATCTGTGCAACTATATGTGATTGAATAAAAGATTCTTAACACACCTTTCTTCTGATTTTGTCTGTTGTCCTAAGACCTGAGGATCATTCCTCTTACAGTCTTTCTAGAGCTCGCTAATTTATGCTGCCTAAAAATACGGGATTCTAAAATTCTTAATGTTTTCAAATGCTTAAAATAGGAGTTTATTTATCATGTAATTATAAAGACTTACTGTTCTCGGATTCTCATTGTTAAATTTATAGTGAGAAATGTGAAAGAATTGGCATAAAATAGATTTAAACAGATTTTATTTAAATAAAAAGAATGAGTAGTAGCTATAAATTTGTCCACAACAGTTTTGAGCTAGTATTTTTAGCGCTTGTACACGAAGTTACAATGTGAACACCAAAGGTGACAAAGTAACCAATTGCGATAGTAAAACGTGTTATGGGATTCCAGTTTGTTCAATCCTCTATTTACCAAACTGTGCACTTGTCTTCTGGATTCATTGGAGAACCTAAAGTGCAGTGAAAGTCTTCCGCAAACTCTGGTAGATTAGACATTGGCCCATTCACTCTGAAAAAGAAGACATATTTTAAATGCTTTTAGGTAGAGTAAGATTTCAAATATTTTAATATAACAATTAATATAAATTTTGTATCACGGTAACAAACGTTATAGCGTTTACACGTTTAGCTCTTAATTAAACAAACTAATTAGATATCAATACAGTTTCTTCTAGAACTCTTATTTTGTTTTTTGAGTAATTTATTCAGTTGTTCAAAATAAATAGAATTATTCCATTTTGTTGGTTATTTTGGTAGGTAGAAAAAACCGACAGATGTGTAACGATCTTTGATACAGGGACAATTTGATATAATAGAAAAAGTAGACTTCTGCATTCTGCCAAATGGTGGTACCTCAAGAGACAACCAGAGATCCACTACCTATCCTCCAAAATCTCAGAAAAAGCTCGTTATGATAGCAGAAGTTCTATAGTCTTGGCAGTCATCAAGCTGGACGAGAGTGCTGAATTTAATGTCTTTGACGGAAGCTCTGTGACTGCTACGAGGTATAGAAGAGACTTTTGAGCATTACTCTTGGCTTTTCAAGGGCTCTCGGTTCATCTTTATAGATAGCTACTCTCATATACAGAAGACGCACAGAGGGCTAATCTGGTCGATGATTTTTTGGAAGCTCAGGGTATTAGCAGAGTGGATTGGCTATCCAGCTATTTAGAAATAAACTCTGTATAGCAAACCCGTGTCACTGTTAGGAAAAGACCTGCAACTTCGCCTCCTTACTCTCAGAACCGTTTAACGACTTGAAAACTGCATTGCTGCAACAGGTCTTATTGTCATAAATTGCCTCACCGCTAGTTAAAACAACGGTTTTATTTTAACCTCAGTTGTAAGCTATAGCTAAAATTTACCATTTCGTTAGAGTGGGAGGAATCATTATAGCGAATGTCGTTTGCAATCACATTAATGGGTAGATTTATCATGTTTACTAGAAAGCTAATTTCAGCAGTTTCTAAAAAAATATGATTTTGTGTGTGGTTTTCATGTGCGGAAATGAAGTGGGTTTTCTAATGGGAAGTTGTAGTGGAAACGTAATAGCTTCTAATACTCAGAACCATTTAACTAAAAGCTATAGTATCTGATTAATTGGTTATATAATTACAGATCAATGCAACTGAACGCATTGCTCACAACAGGATATTCTGAAACTTTCTGAAACATACAGTATAACATGATGTTAAATTATCAGATATGTAGAAGATATCTGAGATCATCTGAAAAAACTACAATCATCAACAACAAAAATTACTTTTTTATCACAAACGAAAAATTGGAAGGCTAGCTTCCAACTAAACATTTGAAATGATAAGGCATATTTTTAACATGTTCATATGAAAAGTGCAATATTTTCTGACGAAAACAGTTTTTTCTAATGTATTAAAAATGGAGATTCGGATAGTACAGATGGACAGATTAATTAAAATGGAGATTCGGATGATGGACAGATTTAAGTAATCCATCTTTACTCTCCGAATCTCCATTTTAATTAAAGATGGACAGATTATTAATTATTTTAATAAAAATTCAAAACTTACCTAAATTTTGATGGACTGTGCGTATCCGTAATAATGTACATGGACAGAATTTCTGGTCTTATTTTCTCACACCATGCCTGTAAAAGTTTATCGAATTTAACATTTTTATACTTCCGATATGTCATTTCTTACATAAATGACAACACCATACAAATATAGCATACTTAAATGGTTTGGATGTCTAATGTTCATAAATTATGTTAGGAATCTATGAAACTGACAAATCAAAATTTTTAAACTGAATGTATTTTTCGTATTAGATGAATTTCTTATCAGAATACTTGCAGTGTCTCAAATTGACTTGCAATGCTTTCATGCAATTATAAAAAAATAATATCAAAATTTTAAATGCATTAAATCTGAATTATAAAAATTCATTATATTTGACTATCGAAACACACTTTATTTACCAATATTAATCAGGACAGCTCCAAAAGAGTTTTACAGTCGTAGAAGATCTACAGTAAACACGCTGGAACAATCAGCGATACAGCCTTCACACTGTCAGGCAATAACGGTGGAGACAGCTTCACTGCAAAGCACTAGATTACAGCTTCCGACTCTGTTCGGTCGTTCTCGGAACTCCACGAGACTCTCTATGCTACAACTCACGATGCACTCGACGACACAAGAGCACAGCTCCAGACACTTCGGTTCAGTCGTTCTCGGAGCTCAACACGCTCTCTCGACGATGCACTAACCGCGATACACTAAGACACTCATTCGGTGTCGACGACCACGGGCACTCCTCCTGGCTGGCTCGATCGACTCCGCACGTACTGACTAACTCGAGACTAACTATCTCGCACTCTCGACGAGCCGCACACTACTGGTCCTCTCGACGAGGCACTCCCTCGATACTAACTAACTCTCCGCGTACCAGCAGGGTTTATATAGCTTTTGGCTGGTGTTCGGGAACATTCTGGGCTAAGCGGTAAGAATTCGCTCCAGAAGGTTCTCCATCCGTCCATGGCATATCGCCAGTTTTGGCGTCAAATGTGGCCTAATGGGCGATTCCTTGCAAAATGTGACAGCCCTGCCTTATCTTGCCATTTTATGGCAACCATAAACCTGTTTTCCGGGGAAGCTATCTCATCGCGCCTGTACATTTCGTAACAATATTTTCTCCAAAAACTGAATATTCATCTCAAGAATGCGACGTAGAGTTAATGTACTTGCTATGTCTCTTTACTGTTATAGTTTTATTACTTGCTAATTAATTCCATAACCCACAATAATGTGTTATGTTATTGATCTGAAACTAGCTACTACACATAGTTCCTCTTTAAATTTGAAAGAGGAGTTATTATTTCTACCTTCGTGTCTGTAAAATCTGCATCTGAATTCACTTCTTGTTTTGCTTTTATTCACTTTTCATTTTCTTTCTTGTTTTGCTATTTTTGCTAAAGTTTTATGTTAATAAATATTTATTCATGATTTTACAACGTGTTTTCTTTAATTTTTATTTTAACTGGCATTGAGTTTATAAGTGTTTTATAATTTTATTTATTTTTAGAGTCGAAATGGGTTAGCTCTGGCTAAGGGAACACGATTTTTTAAACTTAAGATTTTCTATCTCCTAATACTATTCCTTCATTACTTTTCTTTTATAAAAAGTATATATTGTATTTTTCTAATTAATCGTTTTTGTCTGATATCGGCATTTATAGAGATAACTTCTTGTGTTAAAATGGTTACATTTATCTCAACATATAACACCAAAAACTCTTCATTCGAGATCAGTAGAGCCAATTACAAAACTCGTGCTCTGTTAGTTAGACGGTACTTTCACGAACTTTCTGTTATCCATAGATATAAAAGAAAATGGTTTTAGGTAAATTTGAGAAAACTTAATATTGACTTCCGAAATAATCAGTAGAAGTGCTAGTTTGAACAATACATTTCTACAGCCGAAAGAAAGTTAAAGGTAATTAATTCCTTCTAATAGATGGTCCTTTCTCAAAATTCGAAATCCCTGCCTCTTTCTCCTAAATACTTAAAATATCATTTTGTAATAAATATATAAAAACAGATACATATTATTTTCTAACTACATTAAGCGGATAGAATTTGCAGTTATTATTATTTCATATGAAGAATACATATATATTTCTTGCTCTACAATCTCAGTTATGAAATAATAAATCAAAAGTATATTTATTATGCTTCCGGTCAGCATCATCAATGATTTTGCTTCCTATAGTGTCTTGGCTGTGATCAAAAGAATTATGGTTCCATACCAGGAAAGTAAAAGTTTTATATACATTATGTTTCTATCGGTTGAGATATGTCAGCTTCTTCGACAAATGAAAATTTAAAAATCTGATAAGTTAAATAAGAAAACAGCTTCTATTCAGTGATCAAAACACTTACGCGCATGAAGTCAATCTATAGCCAAAGCTAAATTTTGGATCATTTTGCATCATCTAATTCATGTTTCAGATTACAAAATTGTTATAATAGATGATTATGATTATATAAATTTCTTGTTTTGAAAGAAAACGAATCTTTAAACATATTTATATTAGTACAATAGATCATGTTCAGCGAAATTTTTGCTTGTGACTTATTCACTATGAAGTAACTGTGTATACATTGACGCTACATGCATAAACATACGTTAGCTGCACTGATCCAGAACAATTGGTTTTGCGTATACTTCAATCCTGGTAGCTTTAGCTCTATTCCATTGTGTCTTACCCATTTTTGGTATGCCTGTAAATATTAAGGAACAGAACAATCATATAAATAATTGCATTTCTAAAATAAAAACAAAAATTAATTTAAATACATCAACTGAAGATGATACAAATAGTGTACCCTGTAACAAATCATAATAAAAATAAGTATGGTTTTATTTACAATGTTTCTTGAAGCTAAGTGAGTTTTGGCAAGATTTGCAAAAAATTTAAATGAATAGTGTTTAAGCTTAGATTGCTTTCTGGCTGACGTTCTCTCGGGCTAATAATGAAAATGTTTTACTCCTTTACTTAGTCTTGTCACTTGTCGCCTGCGCGCTTTCAAACCGTTGAGTCTGGTAATAAAAAACTCATTAAAATTTTACAAAATATGAAGCATAAAATTCGAAATGCAAAATTCGGGCTTCCAGAAGTACAGCTTCGGGTGGAGGACTGCGCGTTATTCGAAACTGGATGGCTCTAGGTACCGTCGTGTCTTCACAATGCGACTAATATAAATACATGCAGATTCTTCACTAATTCAAATTTCTTTAAGAATAATACAGGGCGATAATGTTTGGTGACAAGTGGTACAGCAATTTATAGTGATTGAGTACAAAATCCCGCGTAGGGACAAATAGCCCATTTGGGCTAACGCCTTCTTAGGCTAATAATGAGTGACATTCGGTTGCAAGCATTAGAAGGCTTGAATTTCTCTGTCTTTAACACCATTAGGCCATATTAGGTTGCTAAATACGTTAATTTAATGGTGTTTACCTTAGTCACGTTAATATGCGAAGTTACTCCTTTATAAGCAATGAGCCCTGGAATGATTTGCATAATTTATTGGCGAAAATAGTTAGCCTGAAAACTTGATTACTTTCTGCTAAGTTTAACTTTCTGCTAAGTTACTACTAAGTTTTATTTTCTTTTTAAAATCGATATATATTTCTTACCATATAAGCTTCTTTCAGTCCTCCATTATCGGCTATATTTTCTCCTTGTGTGTTAATGCCATTTAGCTACGAAAGATATTGATAAATTGAATATGAGTCGAAGACTATATTATATACATACACATATGTATTCAAAAGTTTCTAACACACTGTGTGATTTGAGAATCAATAAACATTTAAAAAAGAATTGCATTTCTGTGAATTTATAATTCATGGCAATATAGAAACATAAAATTTTTGATTTATTATAAAATTTTGGCGCATTTATTAAGTTACTGTTCTAACCATTGTTAAATGTTAGGTATAAAAAGAATTGTAAAAGCTGTAGCCGGATGTTTCATTATTTGATGAATAATTTTGGCAACAGGTTGCTTCAGATAAACGGCAAGTGCTTTGCGTTTTTGTCAATTTAGTGTAGGGTTTAATGTTGTAAATTTGAAGTTGCTGAAGCCCTATGGAAAGCTCTCATAAAAGGCTTTTAAAAACATATAAATAATGTAATCGTAAAAAGTAAATAAAGAATAAAGAGATAAAGAAAAAAATAGTTAAATTACATTAATAATAAAATACTGAAGCTCATCTTATTTGAGATTCTGATGAGAATTAAAAGTTTACTCAAAAACTGAGAAATATGGGCTAAGTCTGACTTTAAGTCCTGATTAGTTGATATAAGGGAAAATAAAAGAGCACTGATTAGCAAAATATTTGAGAAAGCTGCCGCTTTGAATAATCTCTTACAGAGCGGAAAATTAGCTCTTGAAATTACAGTTGAAGAAGAATTCTATCGTGTATTTACGTGATCAATACATAGAAAATTAAAATCTTAATGAAGCTCTATGATGAGCTAATAAAATGGTTCACTCATATTTTTTGCAATTAGTTATCCGTAATTTGTGCCTGCTGATTGCATTAATTGAAATATGTATAAAAATATTTAGAGGCTTTTAAACTATTATAAATATTATTTAATAAATATTTCATCACTTACAGATACCTAACCAAAGGCAAAATTGAGGATAACTACAAATTTAAAAATCTTACGAAAGATTATCTGTCTTGCTTGCACGTATTCAAATAACCTAGGTCACGAATTCAATAGTCGACAAAAAGCCTATTTTATTATTTTCGCAGAAACCTGGATGGAATACCTTATAAATAAGTAAAATTACCTTCTTTAATTTCAAAAGAGTTCATTTGCTAAACGTCGTGAGGCAACGGAAGTTAATTAAATGATAATTTTCTGCACAAAAATTATTTTATGGTATTATTAGCATTAAAATGACTCTTTAATTTGTCATAAACAAATATTATTTTCGATTCACAGAAGAATGCATTATATCATGTCTAACACATTAAAAATATGATAGATTTCATTAACATTAAGATTTCATTACAAAAGAAACAGCAAGATATTTCTTAACTGAAAGGAGTAAGCGTGTTTTGGGATATAGTTAGCATTTGCATTAATGCATAAACAAATGTATATAGAGTAAACAGGCATGTAAAAAGACAGAAAGAAACGAAGAAACAAGAAAGTTTTTTAAAATTTATCTTACCTTCATACCATTTTCAGCAGTATAATTACCGTATTGTTCTATGATACACTGGGCTTTCTTTCTGAAAAGCTTATCTGTACTCTGGTCCCACCAATTCACGTTATTACCATCTTTATCAAATTGCCGACCTATAAATTTATTAGTGTTACATATGATGCTGGAAATACCTTTCATTTTTCTACTTAATAAATAATCTTAAATATTTTATCCATCTTCTAAAACATAATAATAATTTCATATTGTATCGAAGTATCTGTTTGATTCTTAAAATATATAAAATTTTGCTAGACGTAACACGCATATAAAAATGTCCTCGATAAATGATAAATATAAAAGAATTTGAAGGAAATGTTGGATAGAATACCTCTTATAATTGGTAGAATATAAAATTAAATTTCAAAGAATCTCAGGTGTATATAAATGAAAACAAATATTGCTGAAAAGTGTTGATACTTATGAAATAACTTCAAAAGAAGGCCTGTGTCACATGTATGTCCAATCTAATTAATGTACCTTGATTTTAATCTTGCTTTGAGTTTAATTACCTTTATTAGAAGTAATTTGCGCTACCTTTGTTTATAAATTTTAAGTTTTACTTTTTTTAGTTTTTTTTTGCTAAGCAGTTCTATGCAAATTATTTTACTGCTTTTGTATATTGCAACATTTCGCTACTTATTTATTTTAGTACAAATAAATACGTCACCTGTATCGTCGAATCCATGAGTAATTTCATGACCAATCACAAAACCAATGGCTCCAAAGTTCAGGTAACTGCAGACAAACATGCCAATAAGAAACATATTTTGTAAGCATTTTAGAAATAACCAATAAGCAAGTATTAGTGAGTACGTATAAACAAGTACTTGAGTCATATCTAAACTTACTTTGGTCGCTCCTTGTTGAATAAGGGATGTTGTAAAATTCCAGCAGGAAGTACTAAAAAAAAGTACTATGAATTTCAGTATTTGTAAGAAGCTTGTAGAAGTTTCATACAAATAAGCAAATGGATTTTTTTTCAAAGGCTATTTCTTTTTATATCTCTGTGCATGTATGCATATATATAATATAAATTCACTAGTTTGATAGAATTGTAAATGTATATCAATTAAAATAAAAGTAAGTTTACCAATGATATTCTCCAATGGACTATAAAAAGCGTTTACAATCGCAACACTTGCGTGATCCCTCCAGCTGAAATGAACATATATTAATATTAAACAAAATTTTTGCTAGTAAAACAAAAGACTTCGCATGTGATAACTTTTCTTTTTACTTCATTTTCAAAATTCCACTTTTAATAAAAGCCTAGCAAACAAATAAGAACAGAAGAAGAATTACGTCCGTGAACATGATCCTCTTCCATCTAAATTTTTATTAATTTAAACTTAATTATTGAATTCATAACACGCATCCTTCCTTTTTTGAAAAGTCCCGCAGACGGGCCGGCTGCATGGGGGTTCTCGTGATTTTACCCACGTGTAACGTGTATACGAGCCAGTTTTCCTAAGAAGGCATCCCTCCCCTTAGGCAGATAGCCCTCGAGGTTTTGCCGTAAATATAATGAATGGTTTATCATCAATTTCGCCTAATTTTGCCTATTATCGATTTCGTCTACATAATTATGTAGAACTTTAAAGCAACTCTCTCAAAAATGAAAGATAAACCCAGAATAAACTTACAAGCAACATTTGTATTACTTAAATATCTCTTTCAAGGCAGCGCGACTAGCCTCGGGGTATTATGTATAATTGTTGACTTGAATATGACTTTATGTATAATTGCTGACTTCAGCTCTTATCCAACCGCTGGGTCTTATTCATTCATTTATTTATTTTAACCTTCACTTACGTACTTCAGCACTTTCAATGTTACTTTAGTTTGATCGAAAACTTATGAATTTAAAAAAAGTAATGTATTATACAAATTTCCCTCTAAATTTAATTTTAATACATATGATAAAATTCGTTTGCATTTGATTCAGCATAAAACTTAAAAAAAAAAATACTAACACCAAACACATTGAATAAATTATGGTTTATAAAATTTAAATTGTTAACCTTACTATGTCTTTACGAAACTTAAGAACGCAGCGAAGGAAAAGGTGAGTCTCCTAAATGTTACTGGAAATTGTAATGTGCCTAGTTTATGGTAGCGCTGTGTATACAATTTAATGATAATACATTTTTACCTCAAATTTTTTAAAAAATATTATTAAAATTAAATTGATAATTAGAATTAATTAAAATATTGGAATTAATTAAGAATTAATCAAAAATATAAATTATTATAAGACATCATTTTTTAAATGTAGGCAGCCCTAATAAGTGTGTTTTGAATGTTACGGAAAAATACATCATATTAAAACCACGAAAAATTATTTTTATATAAAAGAAAGAAAATTTCTTCTTTGCTTCCTAACAACTTTTAAAAAATTTTCACATACAAACTTAAAGAAAACCCTTCTTTTAAGTTACACCCTTTGGCTTGCGATAACTTTGCTAGAACATTTACATTCCGAAAATGGAGAAATCTATTCGTTTCTTATATAAATATTTGCAAGGCGATCACAATACGTTCTTAATTTTAATTAGAGATGATAGTCTCTAGACTAACTTGGTTTCTGGAGCGTAACAGTTTTTGTCTCCTGAACAAACTGGATTCAGACAATATAATTTCACTTGTCATTTATGAATATAACAGGTCTGTTATGTTAGTCACGACATTAAGGATTCTTTAGACAAACGTTTGTCTGTCTTGACAACATTTATAGACTTTGAATCGGCTTATGATAAAATATGGAGACTACATACTATTCCCAGGTTCAGTAATTTCAGGTTATCACAGCTTTTCTTCTGCTGTTACATATGGCTGGGACATTTGTAGATTTAAACAGACTGAAATTGCTTCCCGCGGGGAACAGTCATCAGCCCAATTCTTTTTAGTTTTATTTGTTAATGATTTACCGAAAACTCTGGCACCGTAGCTGGATTCTGGCCTTTTTGCTATGTGAAGTAGTGTTTCTAAAAAGAAGCAGGCTGGTTTAAATGAGACTTTTAGTAATAATGCTCTGAAAGAACTGGAATTTTGGTAACTAAAAGAGATATGAGATGAAATCAGGATAAGCGCACTGCCAGTTCTTCTCTCTGACAAACAGCGTTTTATCCCGAATTTGACATATAAGGATGTAGATTTTCAACATAATGATTCTACTAATATTTGGGTTGCATTCTCGATCCACGCTTAAATTGGAGGAAAAATGCGGGACATTTGAAAAGTAAAATCGTGAGAAAACTCTCTGTCTTAAAACGTCTGGTTGGTTCAAGGTGGGGCTGTGACAGAGAGACGCTGATGACTAATTACAAATTGTACGCTCAACCGATTATTGGTTATTGCAGAGAAGTCTTCATCACGGCTCCGGAGAATGTGGCCCAGATCCTTGAGGTCTTCCAGAACCAAACGTTACGCATAACTGTTGGGGGAGTGAGATCTACTCGTATTCTTGCAATGCAACCGGCTTGGAACGTGTTCATGATTTTATTACAAAAAAAGCGATCCTATTATACCAGAAGCTTATGCGTTTGCCCGACAACTCTTTTTGGAGGAACTATAACAATGAAATTTCTAGAACGCCCATTGGTTTTATAAAGGGTGTTCAGAGAGAATCTGATGCTTTAGAATTGAGCCGAGATTATCCAGTTTAACCTCATCCCCCTTGTCCTTTGGACGTTTTGACTGTGAATATAAATCTTGATATTATACAAAGAGTTATTAAAAACGAAATGAGCGGTTCACAATTAACATCTTTTGCAAAGGAGATTATCGGGATTCACTATCCTTAAAATGAGTGAATGCGTATCTACACTGACGGCTGTATGTGAGAGAGCACATGATGCTGGAGCTGGTGATCACAACGAGTTGTTTAGCTTCTACTTGCCTATTAGCCCTCTTACTACTGCCTGTGATGGTGAAATTGAAGCTGTGGCTGTTCGACAACTTTCGATCCGTAGTCACTCTTTTGTAAAGGCAGTCATATTGTCAGCTTCCAAAAGTGTGCTCAGTAATCAAATAGTTCGCAAGGGTTCTTATACTTTAGGCCTTCGCTTAAGACACTGACACAAAGAATTTCTTTCCAACGGATTCCAGCCCACTGTGGAATTATGGACAATGAAATAGATGATACATTTGCTAAAAATATTAAAGCAACTCATTAATCGACCGCTTTCTTTTCATACAACTAAATTGTCTGTTAAACTGACTCTTAAGATTATAATGTTCCTCGCTACTTTGGCTATAATGAAGTGACGAGGAACATAATGAAATAAGTAGCGACTTATCGCTGAGTTCAACTAGACAGCGTAGACACGAGAAGGGTTAAAATACCATTTTATTCACTGACAAAAATGATAACAGATGGCCCCTTCTCGAGCTTACAGGAAAGCCTCACTCGGCTTTTAAATCAGGGTAAGAAAATAAGAAATTAAACTAATACAAATTAAAATAGACTTAGCCGAAGCTAGACCGTGGTTGGCTTTTAATTTAAACTAGCCAGCGATTATCAACATGCGCTTACAGTACGGCTGAGCGTAACAGATTATAGAATGAAATAGCCAGAACACAAACAGGCGCTGCTAAGGACTCCTAAGCACTGTTTCTCTGGAAGTAAGTAGAACTTCCTATAAATACCACCCCTAACTTATTTGCAATCATCACGATTTTGAAACCTCATTCTGGTAGGGAGTTCTAAGTGGGAAACAAGAATAATAGTAAAGGGTTTCAAAATTAAAAATAACTGTTATAAAATTATAATACACCTTGCAAGATAATTCCTAAACAGGATATGCTTCAACGTGCTATGTATGAGAAATGGAGGATTCTGGAGAAAGACAGAACCATTCCCAGTTTTCCAAAAAAAGACAGCGATGGCTCTTTTCAGACGTTTGACTGGATGTGACTGCTTGCGAGACCAATCCTACAGAATTGGAGTGGTGGATTCCTCAAACTGTGTTTTATATGACTTTAATCAGGCTATGATTTTTTGACATTTGAATAATAGTATTGCATATTCTCGGTATAAGGACATTGTTAAAAAGTACCGCGAATTAATGGCCTTAGGGGCTCATACTATTTGGCATTTGCTTTTTTAAAAAAGTTTTAATTATTTCCCTTAAATTTAAATGTGTTCATATGACTTTCACTTTGTTCTCATTTAAGCAAAACAACTACCCATTTTGAATACGAAAAGCCAATATGATGATTTATTGAAGAAACTGGTGCATGTGTACGTATTAATATGTTTACCAGTGCTCTATTCGTCCAGGTGCTTTATGCAGTGTACCTCACATCATGATATGATTGGCAGAGCGCAATCAACACGATAAGTCAGTCGATTTTTGTTGAACAGTTTTTGAGATCACGGTGTTTTCAAGTCGTCAGAATCCAGCTTTAAAACGTTCATACTAATCTATATGTGTTTTCGGCCAGATCTGTCCCACACCTTAGACGCATTCAGATGACACCTTTAACACTAGATATATGCAAGACCATACCTATACTGCAGCAATTGGCAAACGACCTTTCTCACAGGACACTTTTAGTCGACTAGTGTCTTCATCCACAAGGTATTCAGCTAATGGATTGATCAAATTGATTGTTAGATCCTAAACGGATACAGTACTACATTAGCTGAGATAGCGGTTATGATGAGTGGTCTTAGTGGAAACGCTTGAATTATGCAATAAATATTGACCAACAGCATGGACTTTATGAGTGAATTCACGTTAAACTAGGATATTTCATATTAAAGCTATTCTTATCATTTTGTTTGGGAAAGACACCTTTCTCCATCTTGTTAATCACACATGTTATGATTACTTTTATTTATATTTTCCTTAGGAGAACTTGATGCAAACTTTTAACATGCAAATATGGTTCTGTATTTCTGATAATTTTCCTTTTTCTTTCTGTTTGCTTTAATATTTGTAAACTGAAGAGTATATAACGGAAAAGTCCATGAAATTTAAGGAGATGTGAACGTAGTTAATGCTTAGCGACGGATAAGATTTCCTATGTTAAAAATGAATATTTTCTTTTTCTCATTAATCATTGCAGATATTCAATAACTTCTCGGTGTTATAGTCGAATAGTTTTGCTTACATTTTGCTATTTTCGAGATATAGAACAGACATAGCAATAAATTCTTAAACTATATGGATGTTAGTTACTGTTAGACATGACAAGATTCTTCTCTTTTTTACAGAGCAAAATAAGTGAATACTACTATGGAAAAGCTCTCAGGGAAATCAAATTAAGAACCATATTCTTTTCAATGCAATATTCTGTATGTGTACGTAGCACAAAATGAAATGATGTAAAATGATTAAATAAGCAGAATTTCACTTTTAACTCCAGCAGAACAAATTAGCGTATTTACTCGCGAAATAGTCGCCCCCCCCCGTTTTGAAGCAGAAAAATCGTTTAAAGTGTACAATATTGCTTAGTAGATTTCCCCGCATAATAATCGCACCTAGACTTTCACAATAAAAAATTGACCAAAAAAAAAAAAAAAAGCCACATTACGCGAGTAAGCACGGTACGCTGTGATTTTTCATCCATAAACGCAGAATTAGTTAAGGAAACTTTGCTTTAGTTAATCGGTGGGAAAGGAAATGAAAGCTTTGAATATTACTTACTCTCCTTTCATGTTAGGTTTCCGAAGTTCAGAGAAAACGAAATCAGTTTCCCATCTCCTTATTTTCTTTGAGTTTTTATAGTAACTTTCATTAGTAATTTTAAGCTGTAAAATAATTAAATTATGTTTTAAAAGGTTTCAGTAAGTCTTTGAATTTTATAAATGAAAATTTTGGACAAATTGTTAATAAATATTAAGGTACTTACATTTTCGTACAAGTTAGATAGATATGAATTCTTCAAAAGCTCTGGTGGATACCCAATATACGGCTTCATTGCAAAGGCCTATGAAACAAATATTTAAAAACAAAAGTATACCAAGTGCTACAAATTGAAATATAAATAGAATTTCTACGTATTGTTACGGTTGGTTGTAATATTTTGTTATTTAACAAATAACTATATTTATTATTGCAATGGCAATGCCATATTTGTATGATGTAATCGTTGCTCAGCAACATAAGAAATTGCTTAAAATGATAATTCTGAAGTTTTACCAGCTAGGAGATGCATAAAAAATTTGTAACTAAAAGTCTGTATTTAAATTATCTAGCTCCGTAAATTAAAAATAAAATTTATGTTTTACTAAGAAGATTATTTGTTATTTTGTCAATTACTGCAAAATACATTACACCGCCATTATCGTTTTCCCATTTGGTTCTGAATAAAGTCCGATTGAAAAAAACGATATTCATTTCCACAACCATAATTATGAATTAAGGTTTAACTACAATTAACGGTAAAAATTTAATTCGCGGCATGCATCATTCGTCCCGCATATATTGTTCGGAGAAAAGATTTAAATACTGTGTTTGTTATTTGGATTATTTTCTCTTTCGAATGCAAATCTGAAACAGAATAATCTAAATAACTTTAAGCATATAATTCTCATTTCGGAAAACATATTATTAGCTTCTTTACTATATATATATATATGTGGGTTCTTTAGTTTCGAAATCACGATTCATATTCAAAAAAACACATTTAATAAGACATTAATACATCTATAATATAGTTCATCTATTAATACAACATCTATAACATCGTTTATCTATTACCACGACATCTATAACATCTTATATCTATTAACATGACAACTGTAACGTCTTACATCTATTAATACAACATCTATATCATCTTGCATCTCCTCTCAAAAAACAAAGTGGCAAGAGTTCTATCAATTTCACTCGTACAGTCAACAGCTAAAATTGAAACAGCGCGCGAGGAAAAATATTAAGGTATGGATTTAAAATCCCGCATTCGGCCTTCCTGCTATGCGTCGACCCCGACGACATTATGCTACTCTTGACAACATAAATCATTGGTCATCTTACATCTTCGTTGTCTTCAGTAAAAGAACCATAATCAAGAATAAGCCGAAACATGAAAAGAAATATAAAAGGAAAGGGGAAGATTGTGTGCTAAGGAAAAAATTGAAAGGAAACATCTTAATTATCCTTCATTTTTGCAACAATAACATCGTCAACATTACCTGCTATTAATATTTTAAGTTCAGATTTAGCCTCCAAAGCGGTAGGAGGCGTTATTTGATTTCGAGATGACATGGAACACTTTATCATCCATCAGATATTCGTAAAAGTGATGCATGCGGAGGAGACAGTGTCTGTGTTTGGGCTGTATCTCTTTCGGTGGACGCAAAAACCTCCATGTCTTTCCAGGGGGAACCGTGAATGCGCAGGCCTGTAGAGATGACATCCTTGATGCTTATGTGTGCCCTTATGCCCCCGTGCAATCGGTGATGATTTCCCGCTACAGGACAACAACTTTAGACCGCGTAAGGCTCGCATCGCGGATGATTATCTTCAGCAGCAGAAAATTTAACGCCTAGAGTGGCCAGCACGATCATTGCACCTGAATGCTATTGAGCTTGTTTGGGATGCTTTAAAAGACGCATAGCTGCTCTCAATCCACCCTTTCAGACCCTTGCCATACTTGCAACAGCTTTGCAACACCAATGGCTCTTACTTCTTACGAAACTGATAGATAGTATAATTGACAGCATCACACACCACTCCATGTGCTGTATGGCTGCTAGCGAGAGACCAAACTCCATACTGATGGTAATTTTCTATACCAGATGCATCAGATTTTTTTCATTTTATATGTTTGCTAATTATTATAACGTCTTAATCGTCTGGCAATTTCTTTTCATGTAATTTTATACTTTACTATATGTTGTATGTTATGGTTCAGTTCATTAAATTCTACATGTAACTTTTTGAGTAATTGTCATTTTTGTGACTTTTCCTTAGACTTAAATAGCTCATTTTAAAAGTACGCTTTTTTTTGTATTGTTATCTTAAATTTCTGAAGGATTATCCGTAAACTATTAGGTCTGTCGTAACCCGTCAGTTTTAAATTATTTCATGAATCAAATTAGCACAGTTATCATGATCAACCTGCAGTGTCCTTTTAATCTTATGACTTTTATGATTTTATAAATTAACATTTTATTGGCCATTTTTAAACTTTTCGAAAATTTTATTACACTGTAATTTTAAGTTTTCAGACTTAAATTACTTCCTTTTTTTTCAGTAAAAAAGTTGAAGTAAATTTACTTAGTTTATTACTGTTGGCTTTCGGCGGTGAGTTTCCAGTTTGGACGTACAAGAAGTATGTGAGAGGAAATAAAGATAAAAATAGACAAGATACAGTGTCGAGCTTTACCGAAATTTACGAAGCTTTAACAACAACAACAACAACAACAAAAAAAAAAAAAAAAAAAAAAAAAAACAGGTTTAAATGTTTTTCTACAAGAAAAAGGCTAGGGGGATACTGAATGCATTTTGAGTTTCAAAACGTCAACCGATTACGTTAACTAAAACAAAATTTGCTTATTTACAACATTCAATAGTTTTTCGGCTTAGTCAGTTGACCGCGTTCATTGTTTTTTGCTGCCTTTCCACTGAAAAATGACAGATCGGCATTACATTGGGCAGTTTCTAAACATATTTTATGGTTATATTTTTAAATTAAATAATTGGTTATATTTTTTAATTTGGAATTGTTTACTGTCACTTCTACTTTTCCGTTTTCCCACCAGAATGGAAATTAGCTAGCTTGTATTTAAGTGGAGCTTGAGATTCTGAAATCAGGGACTGTTTCCCTAGTGAAGGCCACGTTGCTCAGTGTGCTATTTTCTGTCTTCGGCACTGCATTATAATTGTCAATAGTATTTCCTGCCGGTGCAGCTTTAACAGCCAACTTCGCGATTAATTTACTCTGCTTAGCCTTTGGCTACTTGCTATTTAGACTGTAGAAAGCACTGTAATCGGGAAAAATTTTGGGTGTCATATTTCAACGGAAATATGCATTTTGATCGTTCCTGAATCCATTTCAACTATTTTTTCGCATAAAGTCTGTATGTTCGAACTCTGTGCAATGGCCCTCCCTCAACGTAGGGAAGAGGCGGCAACGCATGAATTGCCTGTCGTACTTATGCGTCTAATTTGGCCTGTACCCCCGAGCTATGTCGACACGTTAGGAGTGGACAGTATGGAGGAGATTAGTTGCTTTCGCAGTACTAGATCCACCGTTCTGTTCTGTGGTCTGTGCAGATTCGACATGCATTTGGCAAGTCTGTCTCGGGCAGTGTGAACGCTTTATCGCTTTTTATATAAAATCTGGAGTTGGATCAATATTCATGTATGGGCTGTTCTGCGGCCTAGAACTGGGCTACTTCTTTGAACTGAGCTTCTTTCGCTGAGCTACGTCTCTAGCGAAATGTACTTAAAGGACTCTTTTTTCCAAAGCTTAAAAAATTGGGCTGTTAAATAGATTTAAAATGGATTCAAAATGGGGGTTTTTTCGTGACGTCTGTAGATACTAATGTATTTCGCATATTTAAAAAATGATTAGGCATAGAATGTTGAAATTTTGCATATGGGACTGCTATAACATCTTGTTGTGCACTTCCCTTTTTTAACCGTCTTACCTTACCCAGCTTAGAAGTCCTTATTCTGGACTTTTTTTTCATTATCATTGTTTGTAGCCATGTACTTCCAGTTACAAGAGTGTTTTAAATGGCGAAAATATTCATGTTGGGCAATGTCAAATTTTTTAAAAAAATTAGTATTTGGACACATAATGAAATCTAATTTTTAATATGGTCTTCCAGTTCCTGTGCTTACATTTGGAAAATTTTATACCCGTTATAAAACTGTATAATTATAAAGAGTTTGATTCCTGTAAGTCAAAAACTGGCCGGGATATTTAATTGCAAAATTTGCTGTTTTTGATGTCATTTTTAACTTGCCTTGAGGGTTGAGTTAATTAAGCTAGAATAGTTCCATGAATCAAATTTAAATGAAGTGCAGCGAAAAATATGTATAGCTTAATAAGCAGTACAAAGAAGTTATATGGTGTCCACATCAGATTTTTTAATTTACTATTAATAAATGTTATTGTCCCATTTAAATGTGCAATTATTAAAGTAATTAATTAATAGTAAATCAATGTAATTTGTTGCTGTAATAATCTAAAGCTGAAAAATGAGATTTTTTCACTTTGAACAAATGACATACTTATAGAACTCATAATACTTCTTTAAACCCCCTAAACAATGAATAATTTATAACTGTTTTGAATTTAATCCCCGAAAATCAGTAATCACTTCTGAGGGCAGATGTTATTCCTTTAAAAAAGAAGAAAACTCATGCTTTTGCTTACCCTTAGAAAATCTAAGGAAAAGGTGAAATTTATTTCGTCTTTTCTTTAAAAGGACCAAGTAAATTCCTTCTCCTTTTCCTCAAAAGAAATAAGAGTGTTTTGTTGTTTATTATCACGTATTAATTTTATTTCAGGAAAATGAGTGCTTTAAATAATAAAAAGATGAAAGGTAATATAACAAAACCTTTTCTATGGCTTCTCTTTTTGTTTCTTTCTTCATCCAGTCTATTTTTTCCAGAATGTTTAAGAATTCCTGATGGATATATTTAACCATCTTTCGTGCCTAAAAGAAACGATGATAAATATTTTATACAAAATACATTGTTAGTTGCATCAAAATATCAAAGTCACTTTGTTTTGCTCAAAAATTCTAAAAACCTAGTAAGCAAATTGCATTGAAATAGCTATAAAAGTCAGCGTTTAAAGATAAAAAAATAATCAAAAATGCTTTGAGAAAAGCTTACAAATTGAAAGAAACCGGGTTATGAACCACTAATTCGTAGCAACACAAGGGGACGGTGGACTTAATTAAAATTAGGTTTTTTAAATTCTTAAAAATCTTAAAAAATTAGTTTTTTAAGTTTTTGTGTTTTCAACATGAAATTTTATACATATATATATGCATATTATTACATCAGTTTATAAAAGTATACGTTCAAAATTTCAATTTATTTTAAATTAAAAAATTTAAAACAGATAATTAATTATTTTAATTAAAAATTTAAAATGCTCCTTGCGCGCTAATTTTCAATATTTTTTTCTAGTTTTTTCTTTGAGTTAGTTATAAAAGACTTGAACAAAAGTTCTTGTGTATCCGTTATTAAATACGATGGATCAGAAATTTTTAAAAAGGAGTTTTTGTAAACTTAACACCCTGTTTTCGGAAAAATGTCACTCTTTTGTTAAACATTATTATTATTAAACAAGTTTAAACTTCTTAATAATATCCTCATAGTCCAAAAATGCATACACAGTTCTACTGTAACGTACAACAAGATACTTTCTTCCAAATATCATTCATTTTTAACTAAAAAAGAGAAGTGAGACGCATGGAGCATTTTCGAGACAATCGAACTGCGAAAAAAATTTTTTGAGGAAAGAGAATTTAAAGTTTTCCTTTAAACTTACCTTTAATACATGATCATCAGAAACAGCAAATTAACTTTAAATATGAATATATAGACACTGAATAACACTTTCGTATCATTTAACTATTTTTAATCTCATAATATTAAATTTGAGAAAAATAAATATATCGCAAATTGGTATGTGATTCGAAGTTAGAGGTAGAAACAATTATACAACATCATATGTATTACCTTCATTCGTTACATTTACATTATTTTTTAAAGCTTTACAATATTTTTCACTATTTTTTTTTCTCAAGCAGGTAAAGTTCTCTTTTTGCTTTGGTTCAAGCGACGTTGATCCGGTTTTTTTTTTTTTTTTTTTTTTTTTTTTTTTGGCAACGAGTAGGGACGACGAGTTGGCTTCCTCCAGTTCTACGCCTATAGCATTTACATAACCAAAGTTAAATTCATTAATAGTTGTCAATACTTGACATTTCTATCCTTTTTTTAATAAATAAACAGTTCTTTTTGTCAATTATATATACATTTTTTTTACGTTTTCTCCAAATTTAAAGGGCAAAGTTTACGCTCTTTACACATTTTAAATGCTTGTAACTTCTTTAAAAATTAGAATATTTGAACTTGGTTTTTTGCATATGATGTAGTTATGTATGTGAAATATTACGAGAGTAACAAATTCAATATTTTGGTTGATTTTTAGCTATTTTAAAGTTCCACCGTCCCCTAATGAGTTAATGTTACATACCTCGGTACAAAATCCACAGTTTTAAGTCAACCTTCGTCACTGACATAGCTTGAAACTTGTCAAGCTATATCAAGCTTATCAAGCTATGAGGTCACTGACTTTAACTTAAAAATGTGTTTCGTTTTGTCTAGATACGATATATGTTACCATATGCATTAATAAGTGTTGTTTTATAGAAATCTAAAAAGAGTTTAAAAATTATAGCCCTTTAAAAAGAGCAATGAAAGAACTGATCCTAAGCGAAATCCCTTGCATTGTTGCTTTGATTTAAATAACTACATGGAAGAAAGCGTTTATTGTTGCGAAAATTCCAATACTATGCAAGAAAAATAAACAATCATATTAGGTGCAAATTGATTCCACATATTATTAATTTAATACAAATAAACGATTACATTTTTAGACCAATTCAACCACAATATGGGAATAAAATCAGTTTATTTGCTTTTCTGTAGCAAATAAATTCTGTTGCAATTTCTGTAGGGGCGTGGAGAAACTACAAACAGAAAAATAAATTTTATATATCGTATCACAGAGAGGTTTTAGTGTATGTTTCCTGGATTTTACTAGACTACCAGACTGCTTCGAATGCGGTCCGCAGCTTATTCGTACTAATTGCTGAAGGTGAGTGTTATGCCACTCGCTTTGGGACCATATCTCATACAATGAGCCAGAGGAAGGGGATTCCAGACCTAGCTAACTCGAGGCCGCCTTACACGGTTAAAAACACCCCAATCTCCAGAGGTTATCCGAGAGAGTGCCATTCCCTCGGTCAACCCAGAGGGACTTCACCGTCTGACAGTCAGACACCGTCTGTCCCCAAGTGTTGACCAAGGGACACCACTCCCTCGGACAACTTACGATACGATATCTGACAACGTAACGTCGCCATATCCAAGGGGCGAACAAGACTATTTTATGGGTATCATTACGGTCCAAGCCTGAACCTACCACCGAATAAATGATGGCTGTAATCCTGAAGACTATTTATTTGTTTATTTACCTCCAGATGTCGAGGCTGCCTAGACATTGGTCTAGCCAGTTTTCTGAAAAGAACCTCAGGTCTCCTTCCATAAAATGGTCGGTCTGGAAATTCCAATCCAGTAGATCCTCAGAGATGCTGTCCAACATAATCAAGCCAGACGAACCTGGTTACCAGCGGTGTAGGGTACGAGAGGAGGCCTATGTCGGACAGAGACAGGAGAGCCTATGTGGCGCGCAGACGTTCAGTTGACTATATGCCTGGCGAACAGGCAAGCCATGGAAGAAGACAATCAACTGCGTCGAGAAAGAAGTTTGGACATTCGGCTAAAATATTTTCGGGGAATTATTTCAGGAAATGACTCATACAGCCGAGGGTTTTTCTATGATAAAGAATGGCGCCCACATATCATCACACCTATTTTAGTGTGAAGATCTCTATTAGGTGCTTGATGATAACATCACAACATTTTCTTGTTTGTAATCATCCCTCAATGTTCAGATTAAAGTGGAGTTTGTCAGGTTAAAGTGGAATTGTGGAATTTTACGCGCTTCCAGTGCCTAAATATTCTAACTGGAAGAATTTGAAAAAAGAGGGTGTTTCCCATTCAATAATACATCAATACATACATTCAGCTATATATCAGATTTTACAACGTATAAAATGACATCACCATCAAGGGAGAAACCATTAATTTACTCCCCAAACCCCATTTAATTAAACTCTTTCTAATATATGCTCTGGTTTCTCTTCATCTAACGAGATTCTTTTACTCTTTCTATAGTTTGGTAATCTTCATCATCGAGGTGTACGAAGAAAAGATGTGTAGAAAATTTCTTTTACATTGTTTCAGTTAATTTAAGGGTGCTAATTTTTATGTTCGTAATACTTTTTTTAGTATATGGAGAATTTAATACAAAATACTGCGTTTGTATTTCAGTTATTACTTTATATAGGTAGTACCTTTATACAAAAAGCTGTTTTATAGTTACAATTTCCTCTTCTTTCCGGCGGAAGGTCTATGTACTATATAGGATAATCTAATTTACTATGCGTAGTAATGCAAATGATACTTAGTAGTGGCTTGAGGAATTTATGTAACAGTTTTTCGTCAACGCCTAGAGGCTTTTCATCTGTTAGTGCAATTCAATGTGGTCTCCCTTAGTGTCGAGGCACACCTGCCATCATTCCACTACACTCCAAAACACCTTTTGTAAAGTGTTTGGTGCAATTTCAGCTGCTACAGCCATAATTCACTATTTTAATTGTTCAAGGCTACCAGTCTTAACTTGGTATACTTTGGACTTCACAAAACCCCATACGAAAAAGTTTAGCGGTGTTGAATCTTTGATTGTGGAGCCCAAAGCTGTTGAGAGCCACGACCAATACACCTATCAGGAAAAGTTTCATTAAGATAATTACACACAATAATGGCAAAATGAGGAAGTGAACCATCCTGTTGGTAGACAATGGTGTCAATAATACCATCTGATACTAGCTGTGACTCAAAATATTGTTGCAACATATCGAGATAAATTTCTCTAGTGATGGTCCTTTCTAGAAACATGAAATGTCCACAGATCTTAGACTTAGTTATTCCAACTTTATCTGTCCGTTAACTTTAGGTGTGTCTCCCTGAAATTCGTACAACATGTTTGGTTGTCCTCATTTGGCAACTATGTCTATTCACATGGCTGCTGAGATTGAATGTGTTTTCGTAGCTAAAAGGAACATTCTCCATTACGTTCTCATTATCCACAGCTTTCAAGAAATCCTAACACATGGCTTGCCGAGTCCTCGGCTTCAAGCTTATGCAGAGTTTGAATGTGGTAGGCATCCTTGTTTAAATGACAGCGTAGAGTTTTCCAAACAGTAGTATGTGAAATACCGAGTTCCCGGCTGAGGTTTCGTGTAGATGCCTGGGGGATAAGCGTAATCTCTTCTTGTACGCTTTGCTCAACTTGTGGCTTTATCGAATGTCTCCCAGAACTGTGACCACGAACTAGAACACTACCGGTTCGCTTGAATCTGTTTACCAAGGTTTTAATAGCTGCTTTGGTAGGGGCTTAATTTCTGAATTGGTTAGCGAAGTCCTCTTGCCCCTGTTGATACGTTAATCTACGAGTACGGGCACAAACAATATCTATTCTTTGCCTCTGTTGATAGCATTCTTTCAGATCGCCTCAAAAGAAATTAGAATTAGAACGTATTTCTCCAAAATGTATAGAGACATTATAAACACCTTTATATAAATAAATAAAACACTCAGCGCATCCAAATTTCATCAAACAATAAAATCGCTTTAAGACATAAGTAAGATTTACAAAATTATGTACGCGCCTTTATATCTCATATACATCCTGTCACTTATATTGTCACTTACAGCGTCTTTGCTTTCCTCTTTAAAGTATTCACGCACGTAGTAGGAACTGAGGGCAATATTCAGGCTACCACTAAAAGTCTGAAGGCATTGTTTCCACCGTGGCTCTTCTTGCTGGTTTCCAGAGGTCACAGAGGAATACTCCTGAATTAGCGTCCTCCACTCTGAAGATAGTTCATCAGCAGATTCTTTAACAGCTCTCCACATCATGTAATTGGCCACCACCCTAAAAATCAAAATAGCATTAATAGCTTGATAAAGTTATTGCATACTTTTTTGCTTTACTTTTGCTCTTTGACTCATTTCTTGAACACAACATTCTTGAACATTTTCATTTCTTGAACATGCATAAACATTTTAATTAAAGATTTCATAAATCGTAAAACAAAATAAGCGTAGATGTCCTCAGAGTGAACTAGTAGCATTAAAGATGAAGAACATGAGTTTTCAAATAATGCGGAATCTTTTGAAAGATCTGCAAGGATTCAAAACGTCAATCCTTATAGAAAATCTTCTGTTGCTTACTTGTAAGATAATGCCATAATAACTAAATATTCATCATTTAAATTCGGTTAATCATACACTAATTCATGGAAAATATGTAACTTTTAAACAAACAGTTAAATTATAAATAGGTGGAAGCAATGACTTCCACCTATTGATGATTCAAATGTTTTTTGAATAACAGCGAATGAATGTTTGTTTGAATTTGCTTGAATAACAGTGAACTGTTTTCAAACAGAGGGGGGCTATTAATAATTATATTGCTAGTAAGCCTGCAGATTATTTTCGATTTCATAAAGGCTGATTATTAGGAAGGTATGAGAGATAAATTTATTAAAAGTTTCATCTTTACCTTTTATATTATGTTGTAGTTGTAAATTTAGTTTAGAATTTTTAGCATGAAAAATTTATTGTATTTTTAGTATCTTTTACCTTTATTGTTTTAATTTAATTTTTAACCCAAAGGTGCGTTAGCTCAGAAGGACTATTAATTTCGTTTTGGCATTTTGTTTCGATTCACTATAAACGGCAAATCAATTTTGAAATTGTTGTCACCAAATGTTGTCGCTCGCCCTGTATTATGTTTAAAGAAATTAAATAATGAGAAATCTGCATAAAAGTATATATGTTTCTCGCATTGTGATAAAACAACAGTGTCTAGAGCCATCCAATTTTGAATGACGTACTTCTCCACTCGAATATGGACATCTGGAATCGCCAATTTGGAATTTATTTTTATTATTTATTTCATATTTTGTAAAACTTGAACGAATTTTCTATTAAAATCTCAGCGATTTCGAAGCGAGCAGTGGTAAAACTGTACGGAATAAAACATTTTTATCTTCAGCGTGCGAGACTGCCTATCGGAAATTTTAAAGATATGCCGTTTTTAGTATTTTTAGCGGAAAGGAACGTTAGCCCAATTGCTTTCGGAACGGCTCACAAGGTGTGTATGTAGGTGTAAATGAAAAAATCATCCCCTTTGGGCGTAACATAAAATCTGATATCTTTCAGATTTATTTAAAAATTTACTTTATGAATTTTTATTTTATTTTATTAGTATTTTGATTTATGTATGTGAAAGTATTATTAATTAAGCATTTATTCTCCGTCCTTTCTGGATTTCAGTTGGCCTTTACCAGAATACAATTAAGTTCATATAGTAAGTGAAATAATTACTTAATAAATGCACATTGTGAGTGCTAAAGTTCCGTTTATTAAGAAACCAAAGAAGCTTTGAAACCACGGATTGATAGCTTCCATGCTACTTAGAGTTTGTGATTGATTTATCTATCTGTTAAAAGTTAGCGCTAAGTTGAGAACAGTGATTTTGGAATCAGAAACTTCTAGACATTATTATAACTTCATTTTTCTAATCTTAAATGATTTACGTTATTTAGAAAATTCATAAACAGAAGTAAACATATTTTAATAATTTTGCCATTTTTAATTGTAAATGCCTGCGAATTGTAAATAATATTATTTGCGTTCTTGTCGGTTAACTGAAGCTGAATGCATATGCTTAACTAGCTTAATTTTCCTAAACAAATGTTATGGTTTCTGTAAGTATAAAATAAGTTAAACCAAATTTTATCCTTTATTGCTTTCTTCATTTCTTCATATCTGCTTTATTATCTGTTACATATTGTTGTCTAGTCTACTCACAATTTTTTTTAACTTTGCATTAATTTGCGCAACTTTTAATTTTCTCATTTTGCTGAATCATTTCTTGAGTTTATGACTTTTTTGTTTTTAATTTTCATTTATAATTTATACTTCTTCATATAGTATTTCATGTTTTAGTCCTTTATTTCCTTTTAAAGCGTAAAATACTTTTCTACATTTAGCTTTTGTTTTATCGTTGAAGATAATAAAAATACTATTTTTCGTTGCATAAAAGACCACATCTGCTTGCCATAAAGCTTCCTCTTTTATAACATTATTAGCAATGACTTAAGCAGGCAAAATCACAATAATATTAGAAAGTGGTACAAATTACAAGGAAAAGTAAATCAGTATTTTTTAAAAGTATTTTAAAGTTTACTATTAAATACCTAAACATGTTATTTTGTTTTTTATATGTATCTATTTAGTGTTTATGGGAATTATTTTGATGTTAAGAGAATATGTGTCGGTATTCTGCTTCGATTACAAAAGGAAGAATGTACTCAAGTCCATTTTCTGTGTTACTTCTCAGAGTTTTAAGGCTTGTGAAAAGGAAGAGATACATAATCTATGAGAAGATAATAAAGATACTATTTATATATAAGAATTATGCAGAGGCATTATAAATTAGTTTCTCTCAAAATCAAGGACTCGTCAGATGTTCAATTAATTGTCTTGCTGTCTTGAAGTAGTGCAAACACTGAAAAAGACATATATTGTATGCAACTGAAATTCCTTTTCGCCATTAAATATAATAACACTCCACAGTTTTTTCTAGTAACTCTAGATTAGTTTCCTCTAATTAAATAGGGTTAGCTAGTTTAGAGATATTTAGACATATACATGAATGGAGGCGTGCTGCCTTTACATTTCTTAAGGTGCCTAGATCTGGTTACCTGTTATAACTATGTTTCTCTTAGAATAGACATACTGTATGATAGTTCTGACACCCCGCTGTCCGTAGTAATCCTGAAGAAGGTCTTTGAGACTATGTTATCCCTGGAGCCGAGGAAGGGAGGCTCTGATGAGAGAAGTGAGTGGGCAGTCGTGGATGTTATAACTATGTTTCTCTTAGAATAGACATACTGTATGATAGTTCTGACTCCCCGCTGTCCGTAGTAATCCTGAAGAAGGTCTTTGAGACTATGTTATCCCTGGAGCCGAGGAAGGGAGGCTCTGATGAGAGAAGTGAGTGGCAGTCGTGGATGTTTATAACTAGTTTCTCTTAGAATAGACATACTGTATGATAGTTCTGACACCCCGCTGTCCGTAGTAATCCTGAAGAAGGTCTTTGAGACTATGTTATCCCTGGAGCCGAGGAAGGGAGGCTCTGATGAGAGAGAAGTGAGTGGGCAGTCGTGGATGTTATAACTATGTTTCTCTTAGATAAGACATACTGTATGATAGTTCTGACTCCCCGCTGTCCGTTGTAATCCTGAAGAAGGTCTTTGAGACTATGTTATCCCTGGCGCCGAGGAAGGGAGGCTCTGATGAGAGAAGTGAGTGGGCAGTCGTGGATGTTATAACTATGTTTCTCTTAGAATAGACATACTGTATGATAGTTCTGACTCCCCGCTGTCCGTAGTAATCCTGAAGAAGGTCTTTGAGACTATGTTATCCCTGGAGCCGAGGAAGGGAGGCTCTGATGAGAGAAGTGAGTGGGCAGTCGTGGATGTTATACTATGTTCTCTTTAGAATAGACATACTGTATGATAGTTCTGACTCCCCGCTGTCCGTAGTAATCCTGAAGAAGGTCTTTGAGACTATGTTATCCCTGGAGCCGAGGAAGGGAGGCTCTGATGAGAGAAGTGAGTGGGCTGTCGTGGATGTTATAACTATGTTTCTCTTAGAATAGACATACTGTATGATAGTTCTGACTCCCCGCTGTCCGTAGTAATCCTGATAGAAGGTCTTTGAGACTATGTTATCCCTGGAGCCGAGGAAGGGAGGCTCTGATGAGAGAAGTGAGTGGGCATCGTGGATGTTATAACTATGTTTCTCTTAGAATAGACATACTGTATGATAGTTCTGACTCCCCGCTGTCCGTAGTAATCCTGAAGAAGGTCTTTGAGACTATGTTATCCCTGGAGCCGAGAAGGGAGGCTCTGATGAGAGAAGTGAGTGGGCAGTCGTGGATGTTATAACTATGTTCTCTTAGAATAGACATACTGTATGATATTTTCTGACTCCCCGCTGTCCGTAGTAATCCTGAAGAAGGTCTTTGAGACTATGTTATCCCTGGAGCCGAGGAAGGGAGGCTCTGATGAGAGAAGTGAGTGGGCAGTCGTGGATGTTATAACTATGTTTCTCTTAGAATAGACATACTGTATGATAGTTCTGACTCCCCGCTGTCCGTAGTAGTAATCCTGAAGAAGGTCTTTGAGACTATGTTATCCCTGGAGCCGAGGAAGGGAGGCTCTGATGAGAGAAGTGAGTGGGCAGTCGTGGATGTTATAACTATTGTTTCTCTTAGAATAGACATACTGTATGATAGTTCTGACTCCCCGCTGTCCGTAGTAATCCTGAAGAAGGTTCTTTGAGACTATGTTATCCCTGGAGCCGAGGAAGGGAGGCTCTGATGAGAGAAGTGAGTGGGCAGTCGTGGATGTTATAACTATGTTTCTCTTAGAATAGACATACTGTATGATAGTTCTGACTCCCCGCTGTCCGTAGTAATCCTGAAGAAGGTCTTTGAGACTATGTTATCCCTGGAGCCGAGGAAGGGAGGCTCTGATGAGAGAAGTGAGTGGGCAGTCGTGGATGTTATAACTATGTTTCTCTTAGAATAGACATACTGTATGATAGTTCTGACTCCCCGCTGTCCGTAGTAATCCTGAAGAAGGTCTTTGAGACTATGTTATCCCTGGAGCCGAGGAAGGGAGGCTCTGATGAGAGAAGTGAGTGGGCAGTCGTGGATGTTATAACTATGTTTCTCTTAGAATAGACATACTGTATGATAGTTCTGACTCCCCGCTGTCCGTAGTAATCCTGAAGAAGGTCTTTGAGACTATGTTATCCCTGGAGCCGAGGAAGGGAGGCTCTGATGAGAGAAGTGAG